AGGCGGAAGAAGGAGTCCTTTCGAGCTTGGTTGGCTCGTGGGACTCCTGAGACAGCTGATGGGTACCGGCAGGCCACGCGGGCTGCAGCCCAGGCGGTTGCGGAGGCAAAAACTTGGGTCTGGGAAGAGTTTGGTGAGGCCATGGAGAAGGACTATCGGTCGGCCTCGAAGAGATTCTGGCAAACCGTCCGGCGCCTCAGGAGGGGGAAGCAGTGCCCTGCCAAAACTGTTTACAGTGGAGTTGGGCAGCTGTTGACCTCAACTGGGGATATTATCGGACGGTGGAAGGAATACTTCGAGGATCTCAACACCAGCGTCATGTCTTCCGATGAGGAAGCAAAGGCTGAGGGCTCGGAGGTGGACTCGTCCATCACCCAAGCTGAAGTCACAGAGGTAGTTAAGAAGCTTCTCAGTGGCAAGGCACTGGGGGTGGATGAGCTCCTCCCTGAGTATCTTAAGGCTCTGGACGTTGTGGGGCTGTCTTGGTTGACACGCCTCTGCAACGTCGCATGGTGGTTGGGGACAGTGCTTCTGGACTGGCAGACCGGGGTGGTGGTCCCTCTTTTCAAGAAGGGGGACCGGAGGGTGTGTTCCAACTATAGGGGGATCACACTCCTCAGCCTCCCCGGGAAAGTCTATGCCAGGGTACTGGAGAGGAGAATTTGACCGATAGTCGAACCTCGGATTCAGGAGGAACAATGTGGTTTTTGTCCTGGCCGTGGAACACTGGAACATGGAAGCAACCCCAGAAGAAAAACAAATTTGCTGTGTGCGCCGGGCGAGCAACATTCAGTGGGGAAAATAAATAGAATAAATGAATTGAGTATTAACGTTATGAAAAAATGTTCTCACAATACAGACATTGAAAGATCTCCTACCTTTTCCCCTTAACACATCTTTGGGAAGAATGGCCTCCGTCTTGTGATTCGGTATCCAGCTGTTATAATGGGATGTACAAGGGTTGGATTTAGTTTATTGTCATAATCGGTCTTACTGGTGTCTGTGTTTGGTTTGGCACCATAAAGATAGACGAGAACACTGGAGGGACACAAAGCTGTTGGTTTCTTACAATGCAATCCACGTGCCCAGGTAACGTTAATATTAACTGCCCACCGCCTGCTAGTGCGCATGTGCAGTGGATCCCAGAAGCAACCCCGGAAGAAAAACAAGTTATTTTCCTCTGATATCTTTAGTGATGTGTTTGAATGTAATTTATATACTATCAGTGTTTAAACACAGTGCATGGGTTTTATTTTAACTTCTTAATAAGTCTGCAACTAATAATAATGTTGAGAAAACAATCTCATCACAGGTTCCATATAGTAGCTTTTCTGGAGCTTTCGATCATATCATACAGTCTCATTTGTCATGGAGCATTTGAAAGCTTTTTGTCCAGGCTGGCACAAGGTGAAGAAATAACTTAGGACAGATGACACATCTGACCCAGCTGTCAATACAA